CTGGAGTCACCTGAAGAAATTATTTTTACCCTTTTTGGGCTGTGTCTTTTGGATAGTGTTTAGTAGTATACAAATTATAAGCACATTTTCAATGACGTGTATTAAAGAGGCACCTTTTATTTGTATTAATCACGTTTGATAGACAATTTGGTGCCTGCAGTTCTCTGTAACTTTAAGTGTCTCACTTTGGGTGTATAAATTGTTAACCCTTTTGAACTTATCAAATATGGCTAAATAATAATAATTTAAAAAAAGATGCTTAGGATAGAAAACTAGCAGCTTAATTACAGTACACTTATTCCACTGTAAGTGCCCTCATCTGTCTAGCTGCTGGGTTGTTTGCTTTCCAAAGCTAAAGCTGAGCATGATCAACCATTTTTTCTCGGCAATGGAGGCAGTTTTGCATGGCAGATCTCGCCGTACCCGGTGCATGCCCTTCCTGACTGACACAGACCGCGCTTTTGCCCGCAGAAGCTGCTCGAGCCGCTCCGCAGCGCTGCTTTGAGTCTGGACTCCTGTTCCTCGGCACAGCTGCCTGTCAGCACGCAGGAGCATGGCCCTGGGTTCCCGCTTTGTTTGCACATCTTTGATTCTTTCCTTTGCAGAATTCTGCGTTACTGACAAGGCTGGAGTGTAGCACAGCCTCAAAGGGATCTGAAATGAGAACAAACTGGTTTTCTGTATCGTATTGTTTCTTCTTTTGTTAACAGGGAAATCCTGGTCAGTGTTCTGTATGTAGCCTGCCGTTTTCCACGTCACTCTAGTGGCACGTTCTGCCTTGTGAGAAGAGGCAGTCAGTCAGCTGTAGCCGTACGAGCACTCAAAAAAAAGAGTTGTTGTTGAATTTCCGTGCTAGGGGAGCAGTTTCCAGTTGTCGGTGTGCTGCCCGTACTGGTAACGGGGCTGCTGCCTGCCTTCCCGGGCTGTGGCTGGGTGCTGGGTGTCGGGTGGGTGCTTGGCCCCGCTGCCCCCATGGGCTCTGTGCCCGTCCCCTGTGGGAGAGGGTTTGGAAACAACATTCCAAATAATTTTACTGTTACCTTTTTTTTTCCCATATCTTTGTCATTTGCCTTCTAATCCAAAATAATTTGGTGGAATCTGATGTTATCTGTGGAGGGAACTGAAATTTAGTTTTAATCTGTGGTGAGATGAAAGTACTACACGGTTTTCTTACTAAAAGCACCGTAAAGCATTTACTATTAGGAGCTTTATTTTGTAAAATAAAAGCACCTGAAGACTTGTACAATATCTGTATTAGGTCTAAAGGTTTAGGCAGTCGTCTATTTTTTTTAAAGGCAATAGCACTCAATTTATCTGCAAATAGTGTTTTTTAAAAGACACAGATTAAAACTAAGTGTAAACACAAATTCCGTTTCACTCTAGGCCCTGCAGCACAAACGCGTTGCAAGAAGGTTGGCGTTGGGTTTGTGTGGCATTTGTGCAGTGCAATAAGAAACCCTTTTAGGTGCTACATTGCC